ATTGTTTTCTGTGAGTTATGTGCAACTTGAAAAATAGTTCACGTGGCTCCCAAGATAGAGATGTATGAGTTATCTATGCTTCACGAGGCCCCGTGATCAAAACTAGCATGAGTTAAATACAACTCGCATGGCAGTTAATGCGTTAAAACCACAATAAGAAACCATTTCATATCCTCTAGGATGGCTATAATCAAAAACTCAGAAAATAAAAAGTGTTGGCAAGGATGTAGAGAAATTAGAATCCTCATGTACTTCTAGTGGAAATATAAAATGGCGCAGCCACTTTGGAAAACAGTCTGACAATTCCTCAAATGGCATAACATAGAGTCGCCACATGACTCAGCAATTCCACTCCTAGGTATGTACCCCAAATAAATAAAAACATATGACCATATATAAACTTATCACAAATGTTCACCACAGCATTATTTAGAATAGCCAAAAGGTGGAAACAACCCAAATGTCCAAGAATGGATGAATAAACAAAATGTAGTATATCCATACAATGAAATATTATTTAGTCACAAAAGGAATTAAGTACTGATTCACATCAGAACATGGATCAACCTTGAAAACATTATGCTAAGTGAAAAAAGAACACATATTATAACCTATTTAATGAAATGCCCAGAATAGGCAAATCTAGAGAGAAAGGAAGTAGATTAGTGGTTGCTTAGGGCTGATCACGATGGGGGAATAGGAGAGTCAGACTGGGTATCTTTTTGAAGTAATGAAAATGTTTAATTGACCATGGTGATGGCTGCACGCATCTGTGACAATATAAAAACCACTGAATTGTACAATTTAAATGGGTAAATTATATGGTATGGAATTATATTGCAATAAAGCTTTTAAAAAATATATATAGGATGAGGAGTGGTGGCTCATTCCTGTAATCCCAGAACTTTGGGAAGCCAAAGCAGGAGGATCACTTGAGGCCAGGAGTTCAAGACCAGCCTGAGCAAAATAATGAGACCTCACCTTTACAAATAATTTTTTAAAAATTAGCCAGGTGTGGTGATGTGTACTACTTGGGAGGCTGAGCCAGGAGGATCACTTGAGCCCAGGTGTTTGGAGGTTGCAGTGAGATATGACAGTGCCACTGCATTCTAGCCTGGATGACAGAGCAAGACCCTGTCTCCCCAAAAAAAAGGTTAGTGGGACCAGAGGTGACAACTACCAGAAACATTGCTTCTGGGGGAGAATCAGATAAACAGAAAAAGGACGGTACCTCTTGGGCAATGTGGCAATAAAGGGAAAGAAGGAAGAAAATTAAGAATCCAACACAAACAGAACACCAACAAGGTATGCTAACCCCCACCCACCCCCCTTTTCCCAGCACTACTACCAACATTATCATCCATTAAAGAAACTGGAAGTCACTATACTGACAGGAGAGGGTGCTCTTGACCTCTATCCACAAAATGCCTAAAAATAGGGAAAAGAAAAAAAAAAAAAATCAACCCAACCCCACTCAAAGCTACTATAAATGTAAATCAACACATTGCAGCTGATTAAACAGAACCAATATTTAAAACTATATTCTGGGCCGGGCGCCGGTGGCTCACGCCTGTAATCCTAGCTCTCTGGGAGGCCGAGGCGGGAGGATTGTTTGAGCTGAGGAGTTCGAAACCAGTCTGAGCAAGAGCGAGACCCCGTCTCTACCAAAAATAGAAAGAAATTAATTGGACAGCTAAAAGTATATAGAAAAAATTAGCCGGGCATGGTGGCGCATGCCTATAGTCCCAGCTACTCGGGAGGCTGAGGCAGGAGGATTGCTTGAGCCCAGGAGTTTGAGGTTGCTGTGAGCTAGGCTGACGCCACGGCACTCTAGCCCGGGCAACACAGTGAGACTCTGTCTCAAAAAAAAAAAAACAAACAAAAAAAACTATATTCTGGCTGGTTGTGATGGCTCATGCCTGTAATCCCAGCACTTTAGGGGACTGAGGCAGGAGGATTGCTTGAGCCCAGGAGTTTGAGGCTGCAGTGAGCTATGATGCCACTGCACTCTAGACCAGGTGACAGAGCTAGACCCTGTCTCAAAACAAACAAACAAAAACTATATTCTAAGAAAACTTGCCAGAAA